GGGGGAGTGAGTGCAGGACCCCATGGTCCTATTGTGGGTCAAACCACCACACTCACTCAGCAACTCTTCTTCTTTTGTTTGTATAACTACACACACATTTCACGTTTCATCTTTCCTCTGCTGTGCTACAGAGCTGCACACAGCCGAGCGGCGTGATCAGTGGCACAAGATCTTAGAGAACGTCTCCTCTTATTAAAACAGGAGGTTCATTTGAGATTGCAGACATCGCAATACATTGATTCAGACATGATCACTTCCATGTTTCCTTTTCTTGGGGAAGAGCTGTGGTTTCTTTCCATTAGTCTGCATTCCTTTGGTTGAGACCACACTGTGTGGACAGCAGATGTTTTTCTCTGGTTTGAGTGCCAAAATGATTTCATGGAAGATCAAAAATTGATGCTTGTCTCAGCCCCCAGCAGACGGACCCCATCTGCTCCAGGCAGGTCCCATCAGGCCATGCTGGAGTGGAGGCAGCCAGCGTCCCCCATTCAACCCCTCCGCTCTGGCATTCACTGTGAGCACGAAACACGGGGTTGGCCGCAGACACACACACCCCAGAGTGCTGGGGTAAGCAAAGATCAGGACTCTTCCAGAGTTGGGTTTTTTTTTGGCTTTTAAGATAAAATTTGTAGTTCATTATGTACACTAAGGAGCAGCATGTAGAATAATATTAAACTCGTAAATGCCACCCTGAAACTGCAAAGTCAGTTTTGGCATCCTGGGTCCAACAAATAGGGCAGGAGCAAAGCCACCCCTTCCCTGTGCTCCTCCCAGCTTTGGAAGAGCAAAACATCTATCTATGAAGAATGGTGCTGGCAGGAGCGTAGCTATGTGAAAACAGAGCAAGAGAGATACGAGCAAGAAATCTGCTGGGAGCAACTTGTTATTCTCTAGATTTTGACAGATTGACTCTTTAATGTCCTCTCTGGGAATATCCTTCGGCATCCACCTCCATGGCTGTTTTTTGGATTTGCACTCCATGCAGAGATGGTCCAGCAACAGCACCCGCATCTTCCCTGAAGCTCAGCATCGCCAGGGTCTGTGGCTTTCACATCATCCCTCTTCAGCTCCTGGGCTCCCATAAAAGCCCTCTGTTTATTGCTCTGACCACACATTTGTGTTTTAAGACCTTGTGGTTGATGACTAGTCAGGATCAAAGCCAGCAACGCTTCCAGCTTTGCTGCTTTGCATTCACATGTGTCTCAAACTATGGAGGGAACGCCTGCCAAGGGAATTAGATGGTTTATATTGAGACAAGCTGTCTTGTAGGGTGTGACCATGACGCAAGGAGCCTTGGAAACCTTCAGCGTCAGGGTCCAGAGCAAAGCTTCGCAATGGGCTGTCTTCTCATGCAAAAGAGATCTAATCTCACGTGCAGTTCTGCAGCAGCTAAAACCTCCCAGACTGTTGTGGAGCACTGGCTTCTTCATGTATGGTCTTCTCTCCTTCATGGGATGCTAAGGAGGAGGAGGATGAGGAAGGAGACGTCGTCACCACCTCAGCGAGGGAAGGAGAGGGATGCTCAGTGCTGCTGCAGCTGCAAAGGAGGTGGGAGGCAGCCTGGGAAGTGCTGGCTCCATGCTGGGACCTGAGGTGCCACCTCCCTCTGCACCACTACTGCTGCCAAACACCAGTGGGGAAGGACCTTCTGGGTTGGCTCGTATTTTGGAGTGACATTTCCCAGCAGCAAGAGGAAATTTTATTTCCCTATAAAAGGATTTCCTGGCTGTATCCTGCATGTGGCATATGACTGGGATGATAAAAGGGGAGGTGGAAATCCTATAAACTATGGTTAGTTTCTAGGGTGGGAGGCTCTCACTTTTCCCCTTTGCCTTTGTCCATGATCCTCTGACAGGTCCCTGGAGCTGCTCTGAGAGAAACACCAGGAGAAGAAAGCACCCCAATCACATTGACACAACTCCATTCCTTCAGCAAGCTACATATATTTTTATTTTAGAGTCATTTGAACAGCGGAGAGTTTGGCAATAGTGACGGTCTCGGCAGTGTGCGCTCTGCATGTGTGTGGTGTGTGTGTTTTGATGCCTCCAGCTTGGCTTTTCCACTTGACGTCTTGGAAGACCCACCATCATGGTGTTTTTAAACAAAGCAGCAAATTGAAATACCTCTCCTGTGGGCTCCCCAAGAGCATCATGTCTCCACACCCCCAACTTGGCAGCGCAGGGGATGTGACCCAGACTGGAGGGGAGGGGTTGTTACCAAACTCTGAACTGCAAAGAACTGCTGATACCTTTCAGCCAACAGCCAGCAAAGCTTTGTTAAGCTGGTGGGGTGGCCTGCACTCCTTTCCCATCACTGCTGTTTATTTCATTTTTTTTTTCTTTAACCCTTTTCTCAGCAAAAAAATTACTGAGGCCAGCCCTTCAGCTGGGCATGACTTTATTGGCACAAATGGTACTTGGTAGATTTATGTTTGCTGATGACTGTGCCTGGACCAACAAAGACTAGACTATTTCAGCTGGGTTCCCATCACTTAAACAGGTTGTATGATTCCTAAAGCCACTGAAGTGAGTCTTGGTGGGGTTTGTTTTCAGGGAGCTTCTCTGTTATCCCTAATAGCATTACATTTCTGTTATTTATGTCATACTTTCATGTTCTGTTTCCAAGAATACATTTGACTGACTATGCTGTAAGTCATCACTGCTTCTCCCATGATGCTGGAGCATAAATAAAGCTTCTGATGGGGTTTTTATTTTTTTTTTTAAAGATCTGGCAGTGGGTCTAGCTTTCCCACTGATATCAGTGAAACTGGCTTCTGATCGATGAGAAAAGGACCAACAGAATGGGGAATGCTTCTGGAAAGGATATCCTCCTTCTCCTTAGGTCAACCCATGCCTCTTACTTGCTAGTTCAGTCGTGCACGTAGTCAGATGAGTTGGACAACCCATTGAGCAGCTGGTACTTGGCCAATAAGCCCAACTGTATCTCTCAATGCAAAGCAGGAGTAACTCCCTCTGCTCGTTGAGACAGGACCTTGATCCCCAGGAGCCTGAATCAGGGTGCTGGGGGGGACAAGAAGCTCAACCCCATGTACCTTGCTGTCAGAGCTTATGGGAAAGCAAAACAGGAGAAGAAAGTGGGAACTATGGTGTCCCAATGAAGCTCAGCAAGATGGGAAAGGACATTGCAGAGCGACAGCCCCGGGGCAGCTGAGGCAGCTGTTTGCCAGGCTGGACTGCTGCGCTGGTTCTTTGCCAAAACTGCCAAGCCATCCTAATAAATTCCCTGTGTAAAAAAATATATCTATAAATCGTGCCTTAGTAAGAACAATGCAGCTGCTAACGGGGCTGGATGTGGCCAAATGAAATGCTCTAACGATACCGAGCCATGACGACTTTCTTTGCGAAGAGTGACTCTACTTGAACACGTGTGCGCGTGCGTGCGTACATACATGTACACGGACACATACCTATAGCTTTAGAACCCTGTTGCCAAAGGGGGGAGACCCGGGCAGCCCCCGCCACTACACGATCATGAACTGGCAGACGTAGGGCAGCTGCTCTCTGCACTTCTTGTCGAACCACTTGCCGATGGCGGCCCCCGACAAGGCTGCGCAGTTTTCCAGCTTGCCGCCGTCAGGCTGGGTGGTGATTTCAGTCTCCCAGTTCTTGTAGCGGATGGGGCCACCAGTCATGTCGACCCACTTGCCCTCCGCTGCCATGTCGTTGAGGCCCAGCCAGATCTCCACCTCGGAGCCGATGCTCTTGCGCATGTAGTCGTAGAGGGCATCGTTCTCCTCCCCGTTCTGTGGGGTGCTGAGCGTTCCCCCCTGCGAGATGCAGTTTTCACTGGCCTCGTGGTACGTCTTGGTCTCCGAAAATGCAAGAAAGCATTTTAGGTGAATTTTGGTGCCTTTCAGGCAAACTGAGAGGTTATCACACAAACAAAACAAAAAAGACAAAAAGATAATGGTTTTTTAGAAACAGTGCCCAGGAAGAGGCAGCAGCAACAAATGCAGCGGCCAAACTACAAACTTCATTTCTCAGGCTGCGCGGCGACTGTCGGCAGCACAGGGGTCCCAGGGGCCCCCTCCCTCCTATGAGGGGCACGGCTACAGGGACATGCCCTCCCCATCGCAAACCATCGGGGACAACGGGCCTCGGGGTGCTCCTGTCACTCTCCTGGGCTCTGCCACTGGCCAGAACAGAGGCACAGCGTGGTCCTTCAGTTGGACTCCATGATCGTAAAGGTCTCTTCCAACCAAAACAATTCTGTGATTGTCCTGCCCCTTGCCCTGGCCTCCCTCTTCCCCAGCTGCTGCTGTGCTTTCTTTGGTGAGTTTGATGGAAGTCAGGGTTGTGATGGGTGCTGCCGGGTGTTGGAGTGTTTCAGAAGAGTCTACAATTTCAATGTAATCATCTTAATTATGCAAGCAGGAGAAAAATGTCCTTTTTAACAGGCTTTGATCAGAAGTGTTGTGCTTGTGTAGCTTGAGGTCCTCAGAGGAAATTTCTACTTGCCTCTGACTTTATCATTAAGAATAGCAATTTATATTTTTTTTAAGCTCTAAACCCTGGGAGTGCAGGGTACTGTAGCCAAACAATAACTAATCAGAGCCACACATTAACATCCCAACCAATGAACGTGAGCTTGGAACTAAAGCCTTGATTTTGCTTGTGTTCCTTTTCTTTTAAGGAAAAAATTCTCCTTAACTTGCATTTTAATCTAATTTCTGTTTCATGTTCTGCAAATCCCTCTCCTATCGATATCGGTGGAGGCTGCACAGAATGACTGTGGAACATGGCTGGAAGACAGGTATTTTAGGACCGTCCTCTGTATGTGTTCAATGAAGCATGGTGGGACTAACCTCCATGAGGTTCCCTGGGCTATACTGTGGTATGTATAAGAGACCAGGTCACCGTTTCACTGGGGTTCAGACAAAAGAGTAAGCTACATTTGGAAAAAAGTGCAGAATAATTCATTATACAGCCCTCTGATTCATAAAGAAAAATGAACATCTGGCTTAGTGTCACAGAAACATCCACAAATGGGAAGCTCTAGCACACAAAGGAGGCCACGGGCTGCACAACTCATGTCGTTAATTGCTTGAGGAGCTTCATCTGGAGGAATTGCAGCCAGCACACAATTTGCTTTGATTCCCCCAACCTCTCTCCCTGTGACTCCTTGTCGCAGGGTCCGTGGCAAGCTCTTGCTAAAGTGTGCGGAGCAACTGTAGCTGCTTAATAAGGAGCTCCTCTCTCAAAGCAAAAGCCATGCCTTCTTCAGTGAATCCCTTACCTGTCTGGAGTGCTTGCTTTTCCTTCAGCAGAGCAACCTCCTGAGAGATGTTGTCAATCATGGCCTTCAGGTCTTCAATCATTTTAAGGCTCACACCATCTGTTGGAGAAACCACAGGAGGAGCATAAACATCAACTGCATTCCTCCAGGGAGGCAGGTGAAGCTGTTCCCATCATCAAAACCCCATGTTTCTCTGCCCAGCCCCCTAAAGCAATCTGCAAAGTCGATGCCTGACCCCTTGCACATCCATCAGAGTGAGAGTTTGCTCATTAATCTGATTCCACCAGCAACTCAGGTTTCCCAGTTTGGGTTCTGGGGCTTTGCACCTCGTGGGTCTCCGTGGGGCAGTGGTCTGCCCTTGGGCTGCTGCTGCTGCAGTGCTGGGGTGGGGGTTGCATGCACGAGCGTTGCAAGGGGCTGGCTTGTCCCTGGAGCCCCTAGGTAGGGTACTTGCTGGAGGTGGTGCTGCACTGAGGTCAACCTCCCAAAATGCAGGAGGGAACCATATGATGTTACCCTTCCTGAGCAGGAGTCCTGCCACACACGAGTGTTTTGTGGGGAACTTAAAGCTGCTGCTGAATAGGATTTATTGGGGTTTTTTAAAACTCCTCAAACCTCTCTATTCACAGCACACCCTCCTGGCTTTCCTTGAACACCCTAGAGCATTATTTTCTCTGTATGCACTCCTTGCCATGCCCCTGCTTTAGTCTGCTCTCCAGGCTGACTTTGCAGGAAGGGGCTGGAAGGGCTGCAGTACCTCCACGTGATCTGCCCCTGCACCATCAGCCACCCCATCCCTCAGCCCACCAACCACACCATCCTTTGGGCCATCACAGCTGCCTGTACCCTTAACTCTGCCTTCAGCATCCCCAGGGCAGGTACCCAAAAACTGGCCAGAGATGCTCTCCTGCTACAAGAAGACACCTTGGCTGGGGAGTTGGTTGCAGCCTGCTGCTAAAGCCTACATCTTGCTAGGTGTGTCACCTCTAAAACAGCTCCTACCAACTCTTAATTGGTCCTTGGATTTGCTCCTTTCTAGGAGCAAAAGGACCATTGTGCCAAGGCAAGATCATTTTGCCAAAGGACTGTTGTGCCACTTGGAGGTGGCAAGAGATCCGACATAGAGATGTTTGTATTCATTCCACTATCTTTGCTGCTCCTGTTGCTTTACCTCAGCTGGTGTAAGCATCTGGTAGTCCTCATGGGGTGAAAGGAAAGGGGACAATTTGCCTATGAATGCAGCAGGACGGGTTTCATCAAGAGTCAATGGGCTGGGAAGCTGAGGCACCAAGCCATGCAAGTGGGGAAGCAGCTTGGATGTGGACCAAAACCACCAGCCCAAAGATTGCATGGTGCCATGGAAATGAAAGCCAGGCACAGGAGGAGGAGGAGGGCATTCAGCTGCTTTAGTAATTGCTCAACTAACTTTAATGGGTTCACTTAACACTGAGGCACAAGTTGTTATTTTGATGCCTTTGATGAAAACACTTTGTGGGAAACAGCTAATTAATGCCTTTTTTTTCTCCATGCAAGCCTCTCTTGCAGCAGAACAAATATCCCTTTGGTTTCAGTAACATCCAAGGGCCACGGCAGGACACTGCCAATGAGTCTTGCTGGGGCAGCTCCTTATGTTGTTCCAGCCGGGTTTGCTGGTGGCTTCCAATCTAGAGGGTCCCCATCACTCAAGGAGGACATGTCTCCTTGATAACTACCTCAGCACCTTGTCCCTTTTCACCACCTAGTTTCCAAGCCCTGGGCCACAAGATGTTCCTGCACCAGTGCATTCACTGGGAAGTCACGGGGAGAACCAGGAGTGGTTAATTTGCAGTTCAGCTACAAAGCAAGTACCGCAGCTACATCAACAAACGTTGAGTTCTCTATTCTGTTGCCAGAGGTTTTTGTGTCTGCACTGTTATTTCCTCAGGGCTCACCTCCCGAAGCCCTTGATCAAGGCTATTACAGCTCGGGTTTGCTGCGACTGAAGCCAGCGTGGGGGCTTCCAGTTCTGCCATGGAGCTGGAGTGGGTCTTTGTGTGGCAAACCATGAGCAGCAGGATTAGCGTGGGCAGAGGCAAGATGAAAAGGAGACTCTGAAGGATGTGGGTCACAATAGTCTGTTGGTTTGAAAGCCTGGCCAGTAATGTATCTGATGCTGCAAATGGGAGCTCTTGCCTGTTTTACTTTGTTCTAATTACATGCCGAATACCAACTGAATCCCTCTGTACTTCATTTTGATAATTTAACTATCCCTATATGAAATTTGGATCTCCACCTGGGTTGTTTAGCTTTGCCTGGGGTGCATTAGAAGGGGTGTGGTTAGTAGGTCGAGAGAGGTTCTCCTACCCCTCTACTCTGCCCTGGTGAGGCCGCATCTGGAATATTGTGTCCAGTTCTGGGCCCCACAGTTCAGGAAGGACAGGGAACTGCTTGAGAGAGTCCAGCACAGAGCCACGAAGATGATGGAGTGGAGCATCTCCCTTCTGAGGAAAGGCTGAGGGAGCTGGGGCTCTTTAGCTTGGAGAAGAGGAGACTGAGGGGTGACCTCATTAATGTTTATAAATATGTAAAGGGTGAGTGTCACGAGGATGGAGCTAGACTCTTCTTAGTGACAGCAATGATAAGACAATTTATAAGGGGCAGTGGGTGTAAGCTGGAACACAGGAGGTTCTGCTTAAGCTTGAGAAGAAACTTCTTTACAGTGAGGGTGACAGAGCCCTGGAACAGGCTGCCCAGGGAGGTTGTGGAGTCTCCTTCTCTGGAGACATTCAAGATCCGCCTGGACGCCTTCCTGTGTGATCTCATTTAGGTTCCTGCTCTGGCAGGGGGATTGGACTGGATGATCTTTCGAGGTTCCTTCCAATCCCAAACATTCTGTGATTCTGTGATTCTTCTGACCAGGCATTTCCCCGAATGTCCCAGCTGGGAAAGTCAGGTCCCATATTGCAGTCTGTCCCTGGATCAGAGGGGACCCACACCAGGTTTATATCATGTTCACAGGTGTTTTCTGGGAAGAGCACCCAGACTCCAGGATTAGACAGGAATTTTGGGCAGCCTCAGGAGCGGTGCCCACATCAGCCCCTACCCCCTGATTTAAGCGTTCAGACTCTGAGGGCCACCTCCAATCACCTTAAAAATACACGTGAGAGCTACGCAAGGATGCTCCCTCCTGTGCCTCCAGCACCTCCACCTGCCCAGAGGAGAGCAAAACCCCTCTGCCCCCCAACACATGGGGGTTCAGGGAGAGTCTGATGAACCGCTGCATCTGGGAAAATCACTGGGGAGGATTTGATGGGGGATAAAGCCTAACAGCAGGCAAAGCGAATGTGCTAGCTCAGCATTTCCTCAATGCTATGGTTTGGCTTTTTCATGTTGAAACAGCACCATTTTAGTTCTGAAGCAGATCCAAATGTAAGCAATAATTACAAGAAAGAAGGAAAAACAAAACAAAACAAATAAAAGGGGAAAAAAGAAAAAGAGATAAAGCTTGGCTCAAATAATATTTTTCTTTTCTAATGTTTGTGGTTTGGCTGTGCAGAGTAAAAAAAAATAAGTAAATAAATCCAGGCAAACACCCAAAGCCTCCAGTGGCTTCACCCTCCCCAGTCCACCCTAGCAAAGGGCAGGGGGTGAGCCGGGATGGGGGGGCACTGGGGGCCTGGGATGGGGATGGGATGGGGATGGAGCCATCCTGCCCTCACTCAGGGCAGGAGCGGCTGCAGAGGGTGGGCAGGCAGGCACGGACCTGGCGAGGGGCTGGGGGCAAAGAGGAGCTTTGCGGGGGATGGTTAGTGCTTTCCTCCCTCTTTCCCCACCCCCTGGTATTGCTAAAAATCAGAAAAAAGTTAACCAAGAAATGCTGGAAGTTTCCAGTACAGGCAGGACAGCAGACCCACCACAGGGCTGGATGCTGCCAGGCAAAAAAATGCTAAGTTTGGGGGGTTTTTTTCTTCTCCTCAAAGAAAACTTGACCTCTCCTTTGAAAAGAAACCCCAAAGCTCTCAGGAAAAATTGCCACCACCTGTTTCAGATGGCTTGATTTTCAGAAAGAAAAAGTTGCCCCCTCACCTCTGAAAAATGTGTTTAAATCAGAGCCCAATATTCCTGTCCAAAAAGTGATTTTTCTCCCACCACTTGACTTTTTTCCCACCACCTGATTTTTCTCTCACCTGCTTGTCACCAGTGGGTTACGAAGAGCAGCTGCAGTGACATGGAGAAAAAAATAAGATTTCTCTAAGAAACTCAATTCTGTCTCCTGGTACACCCAGTAAGTGCAGCACCCGTATGTACCCGACAGCAGCCCGAGGAGGTATTTTTGCTCTAGAAAACAGCCACAGCCATGGAACGTGCAGCTCTGCCAGTCCTTTCATAGAAAGATCTAACGGGGGAAAATGGAAAAATTTCTCAAGGATGGGATCAGATGAAAATAGCCACTGGCTGAGTGTAGGGAGCAGCCTGGCCAAGCGAATTCCTGGGATATTTCTTCCTCGCTGCCCGCTGCGTTCCAAGCAGCCAAGTGCCCGCCAGGAGCGGCCCAAGCCCACGCGGCTGCCGTTAGATGCACCGGGCAGGTTCACACACTGCCGGGTGGCAACGTAAGCTGCTCCCTCACCTGCTGGCTCCTATAATTAATGTGCATTGAGTCAGAGGCAGAAAGGATGGGACAGCAGCAAAAAAAGTGAAGAAAATGAAAAAGAAAAACCACTAAGGGAAAAAAAAACCCTTAAGCATCTTATGGGTGCATTGCCCTCTGGTAAGCCTGAGTAGTTGGAGCTCGTGTGTGGCTTGACATACACCTGGGGCAAGTGCTTAAAATTAAGACTTATGTTGATATTTAATAGATATTTATTATTTGATATTTAATAGATTATATATTATCTTCCTACTCCTCTCTCCAAATCTACAACAGCAGCCTTTCATCTGCCACTTACTTGCTTCTCAAAAATGAATAAGGAGGGGTAGGGGTCATAGAAAGGGAAAGTTTAGTAGAGGAAAAGTGTTTGGGGCAAACCTGAGAGATAACAAGGAAAAGATGCTGCCTTCTGAAATTCAGATCAAGCTGTCCCATCGAATTTATTCAAGGTAGGAACCCACCAAAACCATTTCATTCCTTGCTGTGTTACAGAAGGGCTATGCCACCATTCCCACAGGCAGGAAAAAGATTTTATTAGGTTTTTAGATGCTTTATAAAAAGTTCCATTAAAGCACTGTCAGATGCCCAGATGACAGGGTGATTGCATCCCCCTAAATCCCACCGGCTTTCCTTACTGGGAAGGTGCCACAGCTCCTTACCTTTCTTGGAAGCTGCTGGTTTTTGCCGGGCTTTGCCGTTTTGTTGACTGGAGACCTGGACGAGGGAGAGGAGGCAGAGGAGCAGGCAGGCTCCCCGGAGTGCCATGTCGCTGCTGTCCGTCTGTCTGTCCAGCACCGAGCAGAGCAGAGGTGGAGCAGCTCAGCTCAGCTCAGCTCTGCCCTCAATCAACTGTCTTACACCAGCTCCAGTCAGAAATGGTTGGCCTGGGAAGCCGCCTGCTGAGCTCGGGCCAGCAGCAGCCTCCTGGCCCCGGGGGGAGCTCCGGCAGCTCCAGCCAAGGCTGGAAACATCCCACCAGCAGGTTTGCGTTTCTGAGCGGGCTGCTTGTTTTTGTTAAAACATTAAAAAAAAAAAAAAGAAAAACAAAAAAAAAAGGAAGGGAATGAATCTATTGAAAGTCTGCAAAGCTCAACATAAGGAAAGGCTGTGGAATGGTTTCCTATGGATTTTAGTAAAATGCCAGAGGTTTGATCTTGTGTGTCAGCGATAGCAATGATGATGTGAGGTGTGAAGCAGAGTTTGGGTGGCTGAGGGAACAGAGTGGGGGGCCAGTCTGCCCGGGCAGCCCCTCAGCAGGGCTGCCCATGAGGGATGCTGTAAGCGCTGGCAGAGGGAGCATGGGGGGGCCCAAATGCCCCAGCCCCCATCATGGCGTGATGCAAAGTCTGCACGGAGATTCCTGGTTCATCCCCTGCAAGAGGCTGCTGCGAACCCCTGCCCAGAGCAGCTGCAGGGGGACCAGGGGGCTTTTTCTTCTAGAGTAGTGGAGGACAGCTCTTACACCTCAAAATCCCAGCTCCACCATGGCCTTGGCAGGGTTGTCCAGCCGCACACTTTACCCACTTCACCCCAGGGCTGATCCCTCATTTGCCCTGAGACAGCCACAGGTTGTGAGCAGCTTCCAACGTGACAGGTTTGGACCCGTATTTTTGGCTCCCATCTCCAAAAGGGGGGTGCTGTGCACAACAGCCCTGTGGCACACACGGCTGTGCCATTGCTCTCACCCAGCTCCCAGATTTAGGTTGCAGGATAAGACTTTGGGCTGTGCCCATGCAGGGCAGCTTGGTGGCAGCCCCCCCAGCTGTGGGACCTGCGCAAGGCTGGGGGACAGCGGGGGCTGACCTGGCATTTCTGCTGCTTTTCCTTGCACTGCTGGCTGGGGACGGAGCATGGCTCCCAGCCCTGGGCTTGAACTGCCAGTTCTGGGGCAGTTCGAGCATCATCAATCACTCTCCTCGTAGTGAGTCCCATCCTCAGGGGTGAGGACAGCTGTGTTGGCCATACTGTCCCTTACTCCTATGGCAATTTTGTAAGGACAGGAGTGGTCAGTGCTGTGGGGCTGCCCAGCAGCATCACATCAAGACCTTGGAGGTGCCTGGGTGGCCCCATCCAGGGGAGTGAGACTCCTTCAGCAGCAAACATATCCCCATCACCAGACCATGCAGTGGCTTCACATGCTTTTCATTTTCCAAAACCACTTTTAATTCTTTAAGCTAGGAAACCAAACAATGGCTCCAGAGGTTTTAACCAAACCGGAGAGCTACTCATCGTGTTGCTCTTTAAGCCTTCCCATTGCCCAAGATGGGATCTAGAAGTCACTCCACCAGGCAGTGGGAAGGGGAGATGTCAGCCTCTATGTCTGCATCTGTCCTGACGGTGATCTGAAAGGGGGCTGGGCAAAAGCAGGGATGAAGAAAGCTGGAAAGATGTTCAACCTGCAACTGCAGATGCCCTGCTAAGAGGAAGGCTGCCCTGCATTGGCGTGGTACCAAACCACTTCCCCTCCTCCTCTGGCACCTTTGAGTGCCAAAATCTATGGGTGCTCTTTGCACTTCAAAAACCTGGCACGTGCCAGGATCAATAATCCAAAATATCTCATGGCCATGCCTGTCAAAGCATCAAGACACTTCATAAAGCACCCTGGCTCTGAAAAGCTGGTTGATGCTTCACACCCACTACCCTGGAGTCAGGCTGAGTATGCAGGGGGTCTGCCCCGGGGCCACCTAAGTGGTTAGGTGACCAAAAATACTTTGTAATTTTGGTCTTCACTCAGTTTTGGAAACATTCAGGCTTCTAAATATCCCAGAGCTGTAAAACATGACTGGGATGAGCTGGACTTGGGATGGAGGGGTCGGGATGCATCTCATAGAAAGCTATTTTCCCCACGTCCCCCTTGCAGGGTCCCAGTCGGACTTCAGTACAGCCCAGCTGCTTCAAGAGCAGCCCTGCCACCTAAGCCAAGACCACTCCCTCATTTTTGGGTGCTGGGGTTGTTCAGCAGCTGCAGCACAAGCAGATGAGTCTTTCCTGCAGGAGGAACAAGAACCTTTGAACAAGCGAAAGAAATTTGTGTAAAGGGGACAGACAGGCATTTTGGAGAACAAAGTGCTCAGGACATTAGCCATTAACCTTAAATCTTTTCTGAAAAAGTAAGGCAAGATGCCACCCAGCACAATGTGAACCACTGGAGTTGTAGGAGCATAAAAGATCCGAGATAAACAGGGGTGTAGCTGGAAAAAGAGTTGCTGTTGATTTAGTTTGGCCACAACTGTGTTACCCTGCCTCGCACTTTTGCTGAACAAGGAAAACCCTGCCCTTATGTGCTACCCGGATAGAGCTCCCTTGCAGCCCAAGCTTTTGAAGCAAAGGAGGAATGGGTTTGTTTTTCACTCCCCTTTACCACACACACTCAACCACACTCATGTTTAAGCCAGAGAATATATATTGTGGGGATTTACCGTTCTCCTGCCTGGACTATCCCAAAATGGGATGGAGCCCAAGACAAGAAATGCCAGACACCTACACACACATACACGTTCCCTTCTCCTGACACTTAAATAGCATCGACCTATCCAAAGTACTTTTGGTAACTCAGCACCTCACAGTTTTCCTTGGCCCCAGATTTGCTTGCCTGCCTTTGCTTTGATTCATGTCTTGCCACGCTGGGGAAAAACTGAAATGTTGTCTTTGCCGTGTGTGAAACAGATAGCTCTGATGTGGAGCCTGACGGTGATCCCTAACCACAGGTTTCTGGGTGGCTGGGACTCACTGGAGCGTCCCATTTCTCTGATTCCCCAGCTGAAACAAGAAGGGCGGGGTAGCTTTCCAGTAACCCCCAAAGGACAGGTCTGCAACCAAGGAGGCCTCTCCCTGTGTTGGCCAACATGTCCTGTGCTGGATGCCACCATCATTTTTCTTGAAAAAGAGAAAAATGAAAAGAAGTAGACTTAAGAAACTTGTCTGTGGCTGTAACACCTGTTCACAGCTGTCTTTGCTCCAATTCTGCACTATGTAGACTGAAAAAAACCAAATCCTTGACAAGACAAAATCTCATAAACCCCCATAAACCCACCTGACAGGAGCAAGTTGAAGTGATGCTGCAATGGATCCAGAATGGGGATGCAATGTGGAAAGGTCACCTAAAATCTAGAGGGCCCTTGCTCGTACCGAGCCCACTCCCTGCCTGGGCTCCTGCTG